TTTTTTGAAATATTATAACTTACATGTTGGTATGCAATGGTTACTTTTAATTCGTTTTTTCGTGAACGCATATCTGTATGTTGTCCTGAGCTGGGTAAGCTTCTGATATTCGGTTTCACCACGAAATATGTCAAAATTTCACTTTCTTCTGTCAGAATTTACATTTTTCTACCGTTGGCACACTGCCAATGCTAACCATATGTCAAATACATCAAAAATTTCGATTTCTACTTTTTTCTACAAATGCATGTTTTGGAAAACTGAGATTTTATGTTTTAAGACTTAAATAATTGTTGCCTTTATTTATCAAGTTTATTTACCAATTCAATAATTAAATATGATGGTTGATATTTACATATGCTTATAAGTATCATTAAACTATTTATACTAACCATACTTATGTATGTATCTATTCACTATTTTCCATGTTTTGAATACATATTACTTGAAAAAATTATAGTTTACGTAACAAAACATAAAATATTAGCATTTCATATTTGCTAGATTCATACCACCGCAGCTATGTTGCCTCTTCAAAATTGTGCATGTGAAAGCAGCTCTGTCAAACCAGAGAATGTTAATAAATAGAGAAGGTGCCAATGTTAGATGTGCTAAAATGTAAACTATTAAAAGGGAACATCGAAAATGCGAGAATTTGAAAGTCCAATTACACCACGTCAAAAAGGGACCCTCCCCTCATGATAATCGAACTCAACAAACTACGCTACTCTAACAAGGTACCAAGCAAATTTCCACCACCTTATAAAGGAACTGCTAATAGATGTATGCATGCGCAGATGTTCTATGGCATGTGTATTAAGGAAAAATAGAATAACAAAAACAAATAAAAGAAATTGAAGAACATTTATATAATTATGTGCAAAATGTCGGCAAAGTTGTCTTTTGGTTTTTTGCTCCGCCCCGTCTCCGCCGTTACTTCCATCGCGTGCCATCATGGTCGGAGGATATATATTGTATTATCATATTGATTAATTTCTATTGAGAAATACTGATATTTTAGGGCTTATTTACATAATATTATTATATAATATGTACGAAAATATATATATACTCATAAATTCATACTTATTTAAACGTTTTAAAATAAACTCGATTAATAAAAATATATGTGAAGTAATTATGTGGTAGTACTCCCCCGGACTCCTCCTTGCGTGCGATCGTTCAACTTGCTTTGTTCTAGCTGCTCTCGTAAAAAGCAAAAAAGTAATTGTTTGTGCGGGGCAAGAAGAAGCAAGCATCAACGTACGTGTATTTACGAATGGATGTGTGATTTTCACATTTGTGGAAATACGCATAAATAAGGGAATATTCAATAAACCCAAACATATGAACATATTTTCATGAATTATTCTAATTATTTAATTGAGTAAAATATGCTATTAAAGAAACTGAATTGCGATCAGCTGAAAATGTCAAATAATAAGATAAAAATTAAGATTTATGATTTACAGGATTCGATCGTAAGCATTTGCAGTCGGAATGGCTTAACTCCTTCACGCTTGCGACTTGAGCCACCGCAAAAGTAAAATCGCGGCCGCTTAGCCACTGTTTTATTGTTATCCTTTGCCTATTAGATATTGTTCATGCAACGCACAAAAATGTGTTGAAGAATTTATTTATAAGTTACATATTTTGTTGTAAATTCTGCGGCTTTAATCAATAATCCTCTTATATGATTATTTTAAATTACAAAAATAATAATCAGCATTTACATAATTTATTTAAGAACATTCTTTGTGTCTATTTAAAGCCTTTTCTCCATTTCGATCATTGCGTGGTGTATTTCAGAAGATTCGAAGTTGTATTTTTCGATGTTCCCTCTTGTGAAAAGCTCAATTTAGTACTTCTTAACATATGCGCCTACTCTATTTATTAACATTCTCTGGTGAAACCACCAAAATAACAGATCATTGGTAGTAATGTAGGCATGAAATGTATTTAGACATTAATTGCTAAACATTAGCAATGTGCAGTCTCCATTAGCAATGTTGCTAGCAATACAGATGTTTAGCAATATTTAATTGCGATTCAGATGCCCCTTTACGCTGCTTTTAAAGCAATGCGATTACTGATTGGGTCGAAATCTATGAAATTGTACTTTAGAAAGTGCTTCTCAGATCTGATGCTCACGTTTTTCAGTATATTAGATCAGTACATTGTATAAGCCTACAAGTAGCCAAAGAATCAGCTGTTTTCCTATGTGTGTAAAACAGCCGTGATCACCTGATCGAATCTGATTTTTTTTTGACACAGAGATGTAAATGAAAGGCTTGTTTGTGAACAATGGAGAATATTAATGAAAACTTTCAAGAATATTTTCGAAACAAAAGATTATTATATATTTGTTGCTTTTCCTCACAACCTCTGCGCTTGCAATATAGGTGCGTTACCGATCATTTTTGGGTGTTCGGTTCCCTAGGAGATCTATATTCACCCATATAATATATACAGTTCCAAAACAATCTACTTTTCATAACAATTGTATCTCGAAAAGATATATACATAAAATCAGGTACATGAATCAGGTTCATGAATATTAATTATTTGAATTGAACAAAAAATAAATATAAAAAATGAGGTACAATTCAGGAACAATAACAATAATCAAAACAATCTACTAAGTAATAAATAATATTCACAAAATATTCTAAATCACCGTTACACAATAATATATTTGATAAAATTGGAAACATTTAATAATATTTCAATACAAAAAATGATAATTTAAATAATACTATGTAAATTTAATCTTTAGGAATTAAAACAACCCAAAAATATTTGAATATGGAATAAAAACATTCTTAAAGTTATAAATTTTAAAACAAACACGACAACACACTAGAGCAGATTTCTGTCATTTGGACGTTTTAGTACTAGAATAGTGGTTGGCAACCCGTACAAAGTGTGACTTTAGTAGTAGAATATTGGTTGGCAGCCCGTACCAAGTGTGATTTTAGTAGTAGAATTTTCGAGGCAACCCGTACCAAGTGGGATATTTTTGAGTGTGCATTAGTGAAAATCTTAGGATTATTTACTTGTAGATTTATACAATGGATCAGTATTCACGCTATGCAAAATACTGACTTATTATGAATGGCAATAGAAAAAAATGGTTGAAGAAGCTATTTTTTCTTTAATGTTATATCCAAATTTAGCAATAAAGTGAAGATATTGCACATGTTGATATTTATTTAAATGTTCGAATATGTCGAAAATACGTAAACCTAAAATATTTAAAACTTTTTATTTATTTTGCTTAAAATCATAATTGGAATTCACTCTACATATATTTTTATTTCATATTATTTAATTATTAATATATGTAAAAATCCATACATTACTCGAAAATCTATGAAATTATGTGTTCGAGTTACGTAATAATTGCAGCGGTACAGCAATTGTGTATTTGCAGATACTCAGCTGATGTGCAGAAAAAGTTAAGTGTTGCCGATTATTTGCATAAAATGTGCAGAGAGCTACAGTAAAACGTGATGCTGTTGCAAGTGTTGCAAGAAATTTACGCAGAACATGATACTTTAACAAATTTGCAACACTGTATCTGTAATGCTATTTGTATAGTACTGTTCTATATTGAAACATCAAATATTTTGCCAAGTTCAAATTCTATCATAGATATATTTTTATTCTTATTTTAATTTTTATAAATCTTGTTAATTAAATGATATTTTAATTTAATATTCTATTATGGGAATAACATCTCAATAATGAGGAAAAAAAATAACCTCATTATTGAGATGTTATTACCATAAGTCGATTTCCTTTATTTCTTTTCGTTATTCCAATTTTCTTTAATAATTTCTGTTCTTTATAAAGCGGGGAACATGTTCCTTTAGGACGTGGTGGAATTTCTTTTTCGAAGGGACAACCTTTATAGGAATTTACATTTTAGAACAGCTATCATTTGCGCCTTCTCTTTTCTTTAACATTCTTTACTACAATCTTTAGCTGCATATATGGAGCGTATGTACATAGCATAGACGTACAACAACCTTTTACTTTGACATCATTTACGCATTAAATTCAGTTCACCATCAGAACCATTTATGATGAAGGTTATCCGGTATAATTTCATCCCATTTTGTACAACTCTTCCTTGGACTATTATTTAAGTGATTTACAAAAAAACTATAATTGTTCTCTACGAATCAAATATTAACGTTTCATTACTTGGCGTAAAAATTTATTAGGCATACGGTAACAGTTGAATTGAAATTCAAATGAATTCGTCTAATGCATTTCTGCTACCTTTTCATTTTTTGTATCGCTTTCACAATTCACACATAATTTTTTGGTTATCACATCCTTATCTAAACGAGCTTATAATTATTTTATGCGTGATGTAAACGAGCGTAACTAAATGAATTTTTCTTTGGTCATGGTAAACATTTTTAATTAGTGTTGGGTTTTAGGAAAACTAAAGGATCATTAACCTTAATAAGATAACAGATTAGATTAGTATAATCGAACCTCAGACATGTTCGGTTGGTTGTTGACAAAAATCGGTAATATCTGACTGTTCATATACCAATACAACGGTAAAGCTATGGTAAAATCTATAATAGACAGTCAATATCGGTTACCCAATGACCTAAAATTTGAAATAAATTGTGGTACCGGGAAAAACGATGAAGAAAGGTGCAAGAGCCTTAAAACGGCACTGAGAAAAATGCATGCAAAAATAAAAGCCCTGTATAAAACGAGAGGAATCTAGAGGATTTTAAAATGCAGGTTTTGAGCAGCTGTATAATCAAGAACAAAAGAAAACTAAAAAACCATATGAAGGTTTTCCACCTGGAAAGACTCGCAGAGTTTGGCGAAAATTTCAAATACGAATAGCAGAAAAAAGTAAGAGAGACCAGTATATCAGCATACCTATATATAATATATACCTATGTACATACTTGTATTACAGCCTGTAATTTTAATGTTCGCTATCAGGAATTTTCTTAAACCATTACTTAAAGAAGTTATACTACAACGCTACATATAAATAATTCATGTTATTTAATTATTAATATATGTAAATATTCATACATTACTTAATGGCAATAAACACAATGATTAGAACCTCTCCAGCTCAAACGACGTCAGTGGCACACACCGCACTCGAGTGGATTTTGCGTAATAATGAGAGATAAAAGAGTTTTTAAGCGTTCAGATTATGCACTGAGATTTTGAATTAGCTATTAGAAAGGAAATGAAAATTAAAATAAAAAGCGGTTAATTGATTTGTTTAGTTAAAAATTAGTTTTAGATTATTTTAAGAGCAAAGTCTAAACTGTCTAGATAAGTAAGTTGGGACCTTAAAATTAACTTCAGACAAGTGAAAAAAAATGAAACTGTTTCATTAAGAAGTTTTATTAATAATATTATGTCAAGCATTCCTTTACAGCTAGTGAGGGTAAGTATATTTATAAGTTATAACGTAGAATCTCACAGAAAATGCTTTGTAAGAAACTCCAATTTTTTTAGAACGAGCTCTTATTTAATGAAATGGTTTTGGTAACTTGGAATTCGTATCACTGAACCATATTCCAATATATGCCTCACCAAAGTTTTCAGACCATCCCTTCACAACATTGGGAGTACTTTTAACTTTTAAAACAATTATATTAACAAGAAGATTAAAATTAAAATTAGAGTCCACGGTAAAAACAGTAACCCTCGATTCAACAAGGTTAAATATTTATTCTAGACTATAGTCTTTTACTTAACAGTAAGAAGGGTGCACAGTTTTACGGGAAAAGGACATCCTTTTACAACACTTAATGTTCAGTAGCATATTATTCCTATCACATTAAGTAACTATATTATTTAGCTGGTTTGTCACAGACACCTTTCATCAATTGAAAAGAATGATTAAAAAAGTTGTATATTGCTAGCATACCTATAATAACATTTTGAATACTTTATTACAGAAGATATATCTTTAATTAATATCAAGCACAGAAAGAACGAATCTCAGATACCATTCGTAGTGTTCTATTTCTGAAATAAGAAGATAGATACTCTTTCAAGAAAACTTGGTTTAAAACCAAGAACATCAAGTTTTTGCACGAGAATTGCGTAATTTACTCTATTGAACGAATTACTTAAGTCTCTGTATACTCGTATAACATAAGTACCCTTATTTTGCCGAATAATAATAAATAATTCATAAATCCAAACAAATTTATTAGTGTAGATTTGCTTTACAAAATCCATGGTGAGAAAATGAAGGTATTGAAGTAATCACAAATGTTATTTGATTTGTGATAACTGCTTTAAGAAGTGAAGGTAAGTGCATAAGTACGTATTTATATGCACACACAGATTAATTTTAAAAACGTACTACCGAAAAGTATCGATACAGTTTAACTGCAGTAATAATAATATTTTGCCATTGATACTTAAAAATCGTTCCTCTTTAAACACTTTTTGAATATTTATTTTCACACAATTTTGTTGCGAAATATTTTTTAAGAATTAATATTGTCTATCTTTTTACTTAAACGCAGCGTTATTATAGATTGACAGCTTTTGAAAAAACTTTTAAGATCCCTAAAAAATGTCAATATTAATTAACTTGAAAAACTGAATCAACACAAATTTAGTAATTTCCCGACGAATGTACAAATTAATTCAATTCTACTAAACATTACTATTCTATATATTAAAGTTTTTTTTTTCATTTCTTAACGTTTCATTCTACTACCTATTACAGTAAATGGGCCTTTTTGGTTATTGTCTTCGTTATCGGTTAAAGAAAACTGTTTGATTGGTTATTTGTTTCATCCAGGGATGGGTTTAGCCTAATGCTGCGATTAGCGCAATGTCAAGTAAAATTCGTCACTAACCGTAACTTGGATATTCACCAAAATTGGATTTTTCCCGTTGAAACGTGTCAGCTTACAACGCAGGTTGGCCAGCCTTGATATTTAAATCAGTTATTAAAAATATGGTATATTTGAAATATTCTTAAACTAAATAACTCAAAATCATTGTCGAAAACTATTATTTACATTCGTTTGATACGGACGTTAAGAACGAAAGGGCGGCACGTCGATCACTAATTCCATCATAAAGCGGCAACTTGACATAAAGTTCTCACCTCTCTCTGAAATTGGTACAAAAAAAAATTAGAAATAATAAATACTAACAACTTTATAAATTATATAATTATATTAATTTGTATATAATCTTTACAATATTAAACATAAGTTTTTATAGAGGTTCGTATACATACATATATTCAAATTACATTTCATTTGCCCTTATACTTGCACTATTTAATTTCTGTCATATATGTTTTTAATACAATAATGTCTTATTCAATAACAAATAGCACATATAATTTTAATTTTCTTAATTAGGGTATTTATATACTTTATTTATAATTTTCTTTAAAACTACTGTCAAAATTGCTATACTATTCGAATGCCATTATGTTTGAAAACAAATGAAGAGCTATTGCACTCTGAAAACTTTAGTTCGAAATAGAGATACAAATACTGTCATGATAGCTGTGTACTGTGTTATAAGTAATTGTATTAACATGGGAAGAATCCATGTTTGAAAATACCCAATCAATTTCTGTACCTGCAGGTGTAGTTGAATTTTCTGCACCATGCATGGAACTTAAGTTTTTTTCTTGGAGAATTTTTCTTATTGTTGTCCCTGTGGACTTTAGACAAATGTTAAAATCTCTAACAATTTAGTACAACGTTTTAATTGCTTAACTCAGATGTAAGGATTTCCTGAAGTTCTACAATTAAATGTCTGACAGAAAAAGCTGAATTTCTGTATAAAACTAGAATATTAATATTGAAACATTTAAACAAAACCGCTTTGAAAACTTTGCGGCCTGAATAAGATGTCCTTATTGACTTTGGTTTATAGAGCTAGCAATACTAGGCTTTGCATATATTATATTATAATGCCTCGTTTATTTCTGTTGGTTGTTTCCGTATTATCCATCCTCAGCTTGTTAATTGGAGTAAATCGTGGTATATCAAAATTTTCACAGGGATAACACCAAGTTTCTGTCAGAGCTTTAGTTGTGTGCAATATAACAATATAAAAATATATAAAATTTCCTATAACGAATAGACCTTCTGCAGTAGGATCTCGACTGCAAGCAACATATATGGAAGCTCTAGATATTCTGTGTCGGGTATGAACTACAACTTTATTGTATGAGACACCCTGACTTTTATGATTACTTATATACGACTCCTGACAATAAAAGGACTGCAAATTTAATCCTGCAAAGGTAGAAGAAGAGGGAATAAAGATTGTTGTGTGCTTAACTATTAACCTTAGCCTGTGCGATTCTCTCGCATGTAAGTAAGTGCTCTTAAGGTTGACTTTGTAGACAATAATAATAACAACAGACTTTTCCGGGTGTGCTTGAATCGTTTCCTCTGTGCAAAGCGGTGTTAACTTATTTCCTAACCTTTTATTGTTTTTTTTCAAACACTTTTTCGTCAACTTCAAAAACTCTAATTTGCCTGTTCGGGTTAGATCTTTCAATGTTATCATGTTGGGCTTTTGCGATGTTATTTGTTATGGTCCGCCTGAGTTCGCTAGATGCTGCGTGAATCACATCAATCGGGGTTTTGCTTGTGACCGAGTGTATGGATCAATTGTGGGCTATTGTTGCCTTCAAAATTAACTCGGATGTGTAATCAGACATTTTTTCTACTTTAATAGCTCTAGCTATGTCCGCATAAGTGCCATGGAAGCGTTCCACTTGTCCATTTGAAGAGCTGTGAAGAGGTGGTGCATTCACAATGTCTATGTCATATTCGTTTTTTAACAGCGATTGTTTAAATGAGTTTAAACTCCCTCCTCCAAGTACACCATATACTCGGTAAAAACTGGCACACCCTAATAAACACACTCCACCTGTGAACACTCAAGGAATTTCACCCCACACGACGACATCACCACACTCAACCTCTGAGAACAACATGCACAAAGACACCTAACAAAAAGAACGGGATCATCGCTAAATCTACATACGCTTATTGGACTGCTGTCACAGCGCTCCTACACATTCGAATATACACGTCAGTCAACACGGTTCCTGCTTGCTGCCTGGCTAGATGAGTTACGTCTCCCCCCTCCATACACGCCACTGCGCGCCAACACACCACATCAACACGATCCACAACAGACATCACACGACTCAGACCATGCCCGTGTTTTTTCCACAAGATTACAAGCCGTATCCGTTCTTATTTTTTAATTAAATAAGTGCAAAAGTGCAAAAGGTAAGTGCGTAAACGAAACAATTATTTATTGGTCCTTCGACCATAGTGAGCGGCACTATAGAGTGAAAAAGAAAAAAAATATATATATAATATATAAAATCGAAAAATAAAATAAGAATATAGATAATATATAACTTAAGTGAAAGTGAAGTGGCTAAACGTTGAAATACACACGAAAAAAAAAAGACATAAGTGCTGTGAAGTGACTAAACGTTTATATACACACGAAAAAAAAAAAAGAAACAAAAACATATAAGTGCTGTGCAGTGCAGTGGAACAACACATACACATATACAAAAAAAAAGAGAGTAACAAAAAAAAAAAATATATATATATATATATATACAAAAGATAGAAGTGAGTGAAGTGCAGTGACACAAACACACATATATACATAACGAAAAAAAAAAATAAAAAACAAGAAAAACAACAACGTGAGCGAAACAATAAGAAATCAAGTACGGGCGCGAGTTTCAACAAAAAGCAACAAAAATACATACATAAAAAGACAGAACGGGCGCGAACTAAATAAATAAAAAAAACATACCAGCTAGCAACAACAACCATACCAGCTCACCAAAGTCACCTACCGCAGCTAAGCAGCAAAGGAGTGGGAAAAAACAACGAAAGGCACACGCACAGGCACATATATAAAATATTGTCCCCAAAACCCCTTGGCGGATACCCCAAAGTGAGTCGTATCGATTCCATTTAGTATATGTATATATCCTCTTATTATATGTATGTTTAAATTTATGCCTTTGCGGTTTATTTTTTACAAAAATCCGTCTTAATAAAGGCAATAACAAAAAAGAGCGGTTAACAAACTGTTTCTATATTTCGGTTTATTTTCCGGTAAAAACCGAAATACCGCTAACAGATAGAACAGTTTGGTAAAAAAAAAAATATATATATATCCAACGAACTCTTGATTGTCTAACTGCTTACCGTTGTGTTCAAATACACAAAAATATCTCTCAAACTAAACAATTCAAGTATTTACTTGCACCAATTTCCATCAAGTATAAGCGGGATTGCGTATAATAAGCAAAGGCAAATCAAAAGAAAAAAAAAACACAAACAAAAGCGAAAACTTACAAAATAAATTTTAACATGCATATACATATTATATTTAACATATATAAATATATACATATATATATCACAAAAAATGTATATACATACATATATACATAAATTTTACAAGAATACCTGCGGTATATTCTTTCCTTTTCGCACTGCGTACATATACACGCTCAGGTATACAAAAATACATAAGTACTTCGCTTCAAAGTCCACATTGGCAAATATTCCGCAATACCCCTTGTTCTTTGACCGACAAAAACAAGCAGGAATGCGCAAAAATATTTGAACATAATATATTACATAAATACATATGTACAAAGTGCATTGATCTCTAAGACGAGCTCTCAATTGCGCATAACGTCAAGTACATATGTATCAACTGATCCGCTTATAGGTATACCCTATAGGAATTACGGACACATAATACTTACAAATAAAAGTAAAAATAAAAAACATTTGCGTTTAATATTAATCAATTAAATAATATTAAAGGAAAAAAAGCGATAAAACACGAAATACGCGCAATATATTCATTTCATTAAATAAAAACTCTTATTATCATAAAAGAGTTAGGTACTCATACGAGTTTAAAAAAGTTATTAATTTGTTGATTTAAAAAAAAAAAAAAACAAACCCTTATTTTCTTAAAAGAGGTTTCAAATATACATATATTTCTTACAGTGAAAATATTTCATTGTATTTCGGCACATTTCTTAAATGAGCTCAGACTCGAAAGATTCTAAAACAACTCAGTTGCTAAAAGTTCCAAAAATGATTTCTGACGAAAGAAGTCCATGTACACCTCCAGAAGCTACACGCTCAAAGCAAGGTGCTACAAAGCAAAAAAGGGGGAAAGACATTACATACAGTAAATTCATTGCTGAAAGTGACAGTTTAATTAGATACTGCACTCGATTTTCTTCTTCTCCGATTCAAGATAATTCTGAATCGGTATTAGAGATCAAAAGAGACAATCTTGAGAATTTTTGGTCACGTCTCCAAGCTGCATATGACGCAATTGTAGAATCTGACGACTCAGATCTACCAGAAAATTTCAAATCTTCAGCTTACGCGAAACACGAAAACTGCTTAGACCAATTCGAAGAAACTAAAGCAATGATTTTCGATCAACTTAAGCTAATAAAAGCAATTGCACCTACTCCAAATCAGCGAGTAGAGCTGCCACAAGTACAAAGTCATGAGGCAAGTTCAGGCATCCATCTCAAGGTGCCCACATGTGATACAGAAATATTTCATGGTGGTTATGAACAATGGCCGTCCTTCCGGGACATGTTTACAGCCGTTTACATAAATCACCCAAAATTAACAAATGCGCTAAAATTGTATCACCTCCGATACAAAACAAAAGGTCAAGCAGGCGTCATAGTCAAACAGTTCGCACTAAATGACGATAATTTCAATTGGCTTGGGAAGCTCTTAAATCTAGATATGAAAATGAGAGAATATTGGTCGATAAGCAAGTAACGATACTAATGAAGGATAAGGCATACTCTGCCACTTTATACGTTCGCACACAAAGCGATACTGCGACCACAAGCCACTTATTAGTAGCAAAAGCAAAGGTGGCTCCTTTAAAAACGCTAAGTCTACCTCGACTTGAGCTCTGTGGCGCGCTACTCCTCGCAAAATTAGCTTCCATGGTGCAGACCCATTTAAACATGAAGAAACATAGATTGTATCTCTGGTCCGATTCTGAAATTGTTCTAGCCTGGTTGGAAAAACCACCACATGCATGGAAGACGTACATTGCTAATCGAACGTCTCAAATACTTGACCTAGTGGGATCAGCCACTTGGCGACATGTAGCCAGTGCTGAAAATCCTGCTGATCTACGTAGAAGAGGATGCAAACCCCTGCATCTTTCCACCACCACCCTCTGGTGGAATGGCCCCCGATGGTTAACAGAATCTCCCGATTCTTGGCCACATTCGCCCATGCGCAATATAATATCCCCATAAAGTCGAAAAATTGACTCCTTTCACA